ATTGACCTTTTTTTCCCCCTTTCTGTCTTTTCTTTGCAGGAAAATCTAATATCATGGATGCACTTAGTTTTGCAATGGGAGAAAACCCAACTAATTTAAGAGTAAGAAATATTCAAGAGCTTATTCATGGAGCACATATTGGAAAACCGAACTCTTCTTTTGCAAGTGTAACAATTGTGTATGTGGAGGAGAGTGGAGAGGAGAAAACATTTGCAAGAATTATTCGAGGTAATTTTGTGTAGAGTTTTGCTTACGAGTCATTTAATTTTTCAAGCGGTGGATGACTTGACTTTTCTTTGAATGATATGCATATTCTATGGCATAGTGAAATGGAGATTTTGTTCCCTCATTGCTATTACGGAACCCGTTAGACAGGGTTTCTCGACTAGAATTCCTCCTTCTGTAGACATAACTGTATAAATATGTCTGTCTTTAAGTAGTATGTTTATCTATATATGTTTTTATTTCTCTCTCTATATATATCTTTATATATATTCCTGTATATGAATTGAATGAGGGAACTTTTCTGACAAACAAAGACCAAAACCTACTGCAGTCCAGATCATTCCCATTTTTGGTGACGAGCTCTGGTAGCGTAGTGGTTACGAATCGGGCTGAGAACCGCAAGGTCAGCAGTTCGAAACTACCAGCTGTTCCGCGGGAGAAAGAGGAGGCTTTCTGCTTCCGTAAAGATGTACAGCCTCGGAAACCCTGTACAGGGTCACTATGAGTGGGAACCGACTGCACGGCACATAACAACAACAACAACAACAACAACAACATAGTATAAGGAGTCCTGATACGGCACTGTAGGTTAATGCGCCAGACTGCAAAGCCGTTTAAACTGCAAGGTCGGGAGTTCAGGCTCCCCAGCTGCTCCTTGGAAACCCTATACAAGGTCGCTATGGGTTGGAACCGATTTGATAGCACTTAACAACACAACAACAATACTATAAGACATGATAGAAGTAACTGCTCCTTAGAGTGTCTAAGACTAAATCTTTATGGGAACAGACAACCTCATCTTTTGCCTGAGGACAGCTGGTGGGTTTGAAATGCTGACAACTTTGGATTAGCAGCACAATACTTAACCCACTGTGCTACCAGAAGACAGCAGTCAGAAAAGTCTTTCATCAAGTTGTTTGTACTATGTTTGCTTATGTTGTTAGTAAGTGCTGTGGAGTCCATTCGGATCCTATACAGGATTTCTGAGGAGCGTCTGGTAAGCTTGAACTGCCAACCTTGCAGTTCAAATGGTTTTGCAGTCTGGCACATGAACCCACAACGCCACACCAGGATGCAGGATTTGGCTTGTATAGACAATTTTCCTACCATTAAAAGCAGCTTGAATGAGATATTTGAAATTCCATTTTGTAAATTTAGTCATAAAATCCCTGTTTCCTTAATCAAATCGAAAGCTGTGTGTTTATTTTTCTGTCTATGCCGGGAGTGTACAGAACCTCTGTAAGTAGGCTCAATGGTTTGGGGTTTTGTTGTTTTCATTCTGGTCCACTTAGAACTTCTCTAAGGTACACATACTACCTTGTTGTTGTTATGTGCCCTCGAGTCGGATCCGACTCATAGCGACCCAGTGTAGGGTTTCTGGGGAGCAGCTGGTGGATTTGAACCACCAACCTGGTGGTTCAAAATGACCTTGTAGTCCAGTGCTTTTTCTACATCACTACACCAGGACTCTAACTCGCCTAAATCCAGTCAGAAAATTCTGGAAGTATACTTGTAAATTTATGTATAATTTAAGTGTTTCTTCATTTTATTACCCAGACAGCTCACTGGCTAACTCTCTTGCTTTCTGAAGTGCTTGCCTCACAAGTTTCCATCTGAGTAGCTACTTCTACTTCAAATGACAACTCCTGTCCTCTACACAGAGACTTCCAGCACCTCTTCTCAGCTCGGGTTTTCTTCTTGGCACTTACCACTTTCTCACACACTGTTTGCTCACATGGAGGGAGTCCCAGGGTGGCACTGCAGAATCAGCACTGGACTGCTAACCACAAGGTCGGCTGTTCAAACCCACCAGCCACTCCTCGGAACACCTACACAGGGTCGTTATGAGTCGGAATCGACTCGGCAGCACGCAGCAACAACACCATTTACTCACATATCCCCATTTGTGTGTCTTCACTCAGATGTACGTCCCTTGAGATCAGAGACTTTTGTTTGCTTTAACTGCCATAGAATGCTCCCTGCCATATAGTAGTAACCCAAAAACGCAAGCGCACTACCATCAACACACAACATTGTGCAGACTGATGAAATACAGTACTGACCATTTCATACACGAAAAACAATTCTATGAAGCCCGTGATGGTTGTGCTGTGTCTAGTACTTGTAATTCCTACAGCAGTCTATTCTTTTAGGGGAAGGCTCAGAATTTCGTTTCGATGATAAGCCTGTGAGTCGAACTGCCTACTTAGCAGAGTTGGAGAAGATAGGTATAATACTCCAAGGGAGGAACTGTCTAGGTTTTCAGGTAAGTAGCTGTAGTAATCCTTTCAATCGTACTTTGGGAAAAGAATTGCTGTGCTGTATTGAAAACGTTGGTCTACGACCTTACTGTTTTTAAAGGGAACCACGGAGTCAATGTCATTGAAAAATCCAAAAGAAATAACCCAGTTTTTTGAAGAAATCAGCACCTCAGGAAAGCTTACAGGAGAATATGAAGAAAAAAAGAAAAAGTTACAGCAAGCTGAAGAGGATACACACTTCTATTTTAATAAGAAAAGGAGGGCAGCTGCTGAGCGCAAACGTGCAAAATTACAGAAAGAAGAGGTAAGGTCACGTCGAAGTAACCGAGCGGCTATGGGCTGCAGAAACGTCTCCGTCCAGCACGTTTCTGCTTGTAATAGATAATAAAAAGGCCCAGCATTCATTAAGGAGAATTAGTTTGCGGTTTCCCACATTGAGCTTCTTCTTCTCCCAGAGGCAGGACTACCTGAACTGTACAGGTGTTCAATCTTCTCAACTGAAAATAATCTTGAATTTAAATTTTTGCATCTGGACCACTTCTCCCTTTTAAAAATGGTTGAGGAAATCAAAGAAATACTTATGTGGGTTAATAAAAGTGGGCTCCTGGTGTGTAGGATCAGTACTGGACTGTGAACCACAAGGTCAGCAGTTCAAATCCACCAGTTGCTCCTCAGAAACCCTAAACAGGGTCTCTATGAGTCGTAACCGACTTGACGGCAGTTAACAACATTAACCAATTAAGAAAGGTGGCTCGTTCAGCTAGCAGCTCAACTCGGTCATGCAAGTGCTTTTCCTGAAGACAACCATCATATTTAAGTAGTCTGCAGAAGTACTTTATGCAACCTTCCTACCTTACTCAAAAGACATGTATATAAAGGTCCAACTTTAATGCACCTGATGGCTTTTACTGCTTTGTGGAGTCCATTCTTCAGTGCAGCTGCCTTTATCCCCGTGTGTGTGGCAGTGCAGAAGGCGATGACTCCCTAGACTAATAGGCATTAAGTCTAGTGCCACTGCCTTGATCTGTACTCAGGCCGAGCAGTTCTGCTTTCCTTTGACTCAGTGCATACGTCAACCCACTGAAGAGGCGGCGGCAGTGGTTGTGGAGGGGCTTTGGTTTTGGCTCTTCACTCTGCCTCGGTCACTATGTGCCGGGTTTGCATGTGACTCAGTCAAGTTTTGATTAAAAAGCCTTCACCTCAGATAGGTCTTTGCAGTTCAGCCCCCAATCTAACCTAGCTCCCTTCCCTTATGCTATCATGCCACAGTCTTTGTTTCCTTTTGTAGCACGTGTTGCTATATGAAATGATCTTTGCCTGCTTGCTTAATGTCCAACTCCTCCCACCAGAATGCTGTCATGAAGAGTCGTTTAATCGATTCTGGCTCATAGCAACCCTATATAGAAGAAACAGTCACTGGAGAAGGATGTCATGCTGGGTAAGGTGGAGGGTCAGAGAAAAAGAGGAAGACCCCTAATGAGATGGATTGGCCAGGTGGCATCATTGATGGTATCAAGTGTGGCAGCGGTAGTGAGGTTGGCCCAGGATCGGACATTGTTTCGTTCTGCTGTGCATGGGGTCGCTA